GTAAACTCTGTAGGACAGATAGAGAGTCTGAACAAATAATTGCCTTTTTAATGCGGTGTTCATCGATATGGTCGAGGGCCAAACCAATGGCGCATGCTTCAGCAGAAAAGATGGAGGCGCCGTCTGGTAGTCGGACTGAAGTGCAAGTATTGGCAGTACAGCAGGCTGCTGCCACTTTCTCACCTTCTTTGGAGCCATCGGTGTAAAGTTGTGTATGAGAAGGGTAATTCGAAATGCATTCCCGAAAGGAGGATTTGTGTTCTTCGGGCATAACACTTGATTTCCCTCGCTCATGTAATGTAAAGTTAAAATCGGGGGTTTGAATGGTCCACGGAGGAACATCAGATATGTTAAATTCAGCTATGTCCGTCAATTTTATGTTGAGTTCTTGCAGGAAATTCAAAATTCGGATACCAAATGTTGGCAGAAGTTTTTGGTTTTGCGTAAATATGTTTTGGTATTTGGGGTTGAATACTTGGTTGAAAGCAGGATTTTTAGGGTTTGATTTTAATTGAGTTGCAAATTGTAATGAAAGTTTTATTCTTCTGTCATAAAGGGATGGTTCATTTGCTTCCACGTACAGGCTTTTTACAGGTGTTGTTCGAAAAGCTCCCAGGGCAAGACGTAGCCCTTGGTTATGGATTGGATCTAGCATCTGAAGGTACGAACTGCGCGCTGACCCGTATACCATAGAACCATAATCCAGTTTTGTTCGAATAAGTGATCTGTATAGGCGCAAAAGCATTTCACGATCCGCTCCCCAATCAGTATGAGAAAGGACTCGTATAATGTTTAACGCCTTGGAACACTTATCCTTCAGATACTTTATATGTGGTATGAAAGAGAGTTTCGAATCAAAAATGAGGCCGAGAAATTTAGTCTGTTCAACAACAGGAATTCTAGTGCCATCGAGTGTTAGATTTGGGTCATTGTGTGCTTTTCGTTTTTGACAGAAATGCATGCACACAGTTTTGGATTTAGAGAATTTGAAGCCGTTTTCGTCTGCCCAATTTTGTAGTTTGTTTAAACTCTGTTGAAGTTGTCGTTCTATCGTGTGCATGTTCTTAGATCTGTAACAGATCAAGAAGTCATCCACAAATAACGACCCTTCTGTTGATTGACCAAGACATTTGACTATATCATT